TACTAGGGATTGAACCCATGGGTGCTTTACCACTGAACTACATCCCTAGTCCTTTCTTATATTTTATTTTGAGATAGGGTCTCACAGAGTTGCTGAGGGTCTTGTTAAGTTGTTGAGGCTGACCTTGAACTTGCGATCTTTCTGCCTTAGCTTTCCAAAACACTGGAATTACAGGTGTGCACCTCCCTGATTATTATAATGTGACTATTTAGAAAGTAATTCTTATTTTAATACTAGAGTTGTACTATATTCATTTAAACATTAGATTAATATATGATGATCTTGTCTTTCCTATTCGATTATTTCCCCCCAAGTTGAAGGGCTTTGCGGATTTTAGACTAAACATTTTCACAATCTTTATGAAAAGAGCAAGCTATATAATGTCTTTTTATTAAGTTCTCACGGGTTCTGAAACTTCAGATTCTAGAGAAAGACCAAATATAACTACCACAATTGAGTTGTTGGTTTTTTGGCTAATGCGTAGTTTTTAATGTTATTTTAAAAAAACAAACAAGAAACTACAATCCTGCAAACTTTGTCAAAACAAATGAAAGTATCCTTATTATGTCTTCCTAAAAAAAAAAAAAAAAAAAAAAAAAAAAAACCTCAGAACCATCTTACCAGGACGTTTATGTCCAAATGGAATCATCTGGAATTTTTTGACACCATCAAAAAACACTCTGATTGAATCTGGATAAAGCAAGCCACATCTACGGGTTCAGCTTCCTGTGCCCAGCCCACTTTTAACCTGAGAGATGGGCTGGGCACAGGAAGAAATGCATTGCCACATTCAAAATGAAGATAGCAATGCATTTGCTACTCTGCAGAACTCTCCCATTCTGGACATTCAGTTTTTGCCAATGCCCAAGTTCTTGGGCAAATAAGTAGCCAAGTCACATGTGGGGTCATTAATGACCATTATTTCTAAAATATAAAGCTCTTTGTTTTATTACATTTCCCCAGCAGCTGTGCATGCATGGAAATCCATTGAAGCCAAGTGTCAGGAAGGAATTCCCTGACTGGGCCTAGGACATGATGCATTTATTTTTAGGGTTTCAGCTGGTGTCTCTACCAGTCCCACATGGTCCTTCTATTGAGGTAATTTGGGAGATGAGTGGTGGATGGAATTTTAGTCTTTGCATTATCACTGCTGCTGCTTCATGACAAACAAGTCCTTAGAATTCTTTTTTCTTTTTTGATAATAGAGATTGAACCCAGGGTGCTCTGCCACTGAACTCCATCCCCGGCCTTTTTATTTTTAAAAGTTTGAGACAGGGTCTTGCTAGGTTTCCCAGGCTGGCCTTGAACTTGCAATCCTCCCACCTAAGCCTCCCAAGTCACTGGGATCACAGGCGTGCGTGACACGGGCTCTCAGCAAGTTCTCAGATTTTTTTTTTTTTTCTAACTTGATAAAATCAGGTTGCCTCATCAGGTTCGGAGCTATAGAAAGCTTACGGTAAAATGGACTAGCGTTAGTTGAGAATCGGAGGCCTCCTTCATTTCATTGGTGACTCAAAGAGTGAAACTGACATGAGAACACTTGCATGATGATTTTAAATTTTCACACTGGGTTCTGCAGAGGATGGGCCTCAGGCCACTAGCCTACACCTCTCCTGGGGTACTTGTTAAAATTTACACTGTCAGGGCCTGGGATGTAATTCAGTGGTAGAGAACCTGCCCAGCATATACAAGGCCCTAGGTTTGATCCCCAGCACCTAAAAAATAAAAATAGACCCCACTCAGCCCTTCTGATCAGACTCTCTAGGGGTTAGATCCAATCATTTGCCTTTTTATGGACTCCCAGGTGATTCTTACACCCACTGAAGTTTGAGACCACTGCTGACTGAGGGACCCGAGGCTAGGAGTTGAAAATTGGAGTTCTGAGCTGTCATAACCCCATGGGATTCCCTTCTACACTTTTGTTTAAAGAAATGCTTCTGTGGCAAGACAACAAAAAAGTTAGAGACAACTCTGCCATCATATACATTTGAAAGGAACCTTCTCATGCTCCTCTTCAATGATTACATCTTGCTGGTTAAGTTTACAAATGAAGGCCGGGCTTGGTGGTGCACCCCTGTAATCCCAGCAGCTCGTGAGGCTGAGACAGGAGGATCATGAGTTCAAAGCCAGCTTCCGCAGTGGTGAGGTGCTAAGCAACTCAGTGAGACCCTGTCTCTAATAAAATACAAAAATTGGGCTGGCATGAGAAGAAGATTACCATAAATAGGGAAGAGAGGTGGGAGGGATAAGGAGGGAGAAGGGGAATTGCACAGAAGATGGAAGGAGACCCTCATTGTTATACAGAATACATGTATGATGTTGTGAGGAGAAAAAAAAAATTGGGCTGGGGATGTGACTCAGTGGTTGAGTGCCCCTGAGTTCAATCCCTGGTACCCCTCAACCCTCCAAAAAATATACACATGAAATGTGCAAGAAAGTGATTTTTGTCTATGAATGCCCCCTAAGGGTTTAAGCATCATGGTTTGGAACATAGAACTATGTAACATCAAGCATGTAAACAGCAGAGCAAAACCCACCAAAAGGTATAAAGCTGGCTGTCACTGGCTCAGGTCTGCTGTGTAAAATCCCCATTACCTTCCATTCCTATAGCTGAATTCATCAGAAATGACCAGAAAACCCATCCTACTTTTCCTTTACTCTTAACTCTGTAAACACAGATTATTCTTTTTCCTCTAAAATTTTATAAACTCTATAAAGTTTGTTATCTGTTACCAATTTTATGGTCAGCTTTGAAGAAAATATTTAAATACAAATACACATATGTTGTATGTTATTGTTGCTTTTATTGTTTGTTTGTTTGTGTGAATGAATGCTTTCATTTATAGACTTTAGAGGAAAGGAATAATCTAGGGAATTTATAGAGTTTCAGAAGTGTGCAGGCTTTCCCACTGCGCTATGTAGTAATTGCTCCCGTATCTTGATTTCAGCATATGTCTCTGAGAGGCAAGAATTGAAGGGGCTGTGGGAAATAGTCAGAAACTGAAGCTCTGCTCTTGAAATTTTTATGAGCTGCTGTTTCTTGACATGATTCTGAGGAGATAGCCTAATCTGTTCTTCCACTGAAAACAACAAAAACAGACGCTGGTGTTATTTATTTAACTTCTAAAAAGTAAACCTCTTGCTAAATGAATTCATCAACAAAAAAAAAAAAAAAAGAGAGAGGAAAAATTATTGGAGAGTAACGTTATTTAAAGGGAGAAATGGGTGTAGATAACAAAGCACTGAATTTGGCTTTTGTCCTGGGAATATTTTAAACCATGATTACTTTGAACTTCTGTTTTCAACAAATGTGTAGAGTGTGGGAGACATGAGACAAATCCTTGAACCAACTGAGGAAGACAGTCTGAAAGGAAACCTCAGAGGAGTCTGGGAAAATTAGACAAAGCTAAGAACCCACAGAAAGGACTACCATAAAGGACCTTTTCTCAACCTTGGCAATAGGTTGAAGGGAAAAATATTTCTACTGAGAATTCCAAAGCATCATCTAGTTTTCATAGGAATTTTCAAACCAAATTCACACTACCAACCTAGAATTGATTTTAAAATATCCACTGGCTGGAAGTCCCCTCCTGGTATCAAGTATAAGTAAAGGCATCTTCCTTCTGATAGAACTTCTCTTCAAACAGGACCTCAAAAATGACTAACGATAAAAACCCCAAGAAACATGTATCCATAGTTAATAATCATAATAAACATATAAACAAGCCCCAGACACAAGGTTTGAGATGAAAGAAGGAAAAGAAGTTTTAAGAAAGAAATGAGTAGAATTGTGGGTGTACATAAGTGAATTTTAACGTGCAAAAGAATAATATCCTCTAATAATAATATTACTAAATACATGATGTCATAGAAGAAAATAATTGCAGTTAAGGTGCTCAGAAAGTAGATTGTTTGGGACAATGGTAAATATATTGATTAGTTTTAGATTTTAAGTTTGCATTCAAATCAAAAAATTGACAAGGTGTTGAGCATGGTAGCACACACCTGTAATCCCAGCTACTTGAGAGTCAAAACAAGAGGATCACAAGTTTGAGGCCAACCTGGTTGGCTTAGCAAGACCCTATTTTAAAACAAAAAGACCTCCAGGATTCAGCTCAGTGGTAAATTCAATCTCCAATACTACCAAAACATAAAACTAAAAATAATGCCAAGCTAACCATTGTAAAAGGAACACAATGGTTTCATCTAATCTTTTTATAACATTTTTTGTGGTGTTTTATAATATGCAGACTGTCATCATAAAGTTTTACATATATGCAATTTATGTAATCATAAATATAATGGGGAATATATCAAGCACAATTACTGAATCTGGAAATGTGGCTCAGAGGTATAGCACTTGCCCACCATATACAAAGCCCTGGATTTGATCCCCAGCCCTGCAGCGGGTCAGGGAGAAGTTACCAATGGATATGCAATCATAAAGGATCAGAGATCACTGTAAGAAACAAAGATGCTCTTTTCCAAGGTACATATAAAAATTCATGAATACAGTTAAGATCCTAAACTTTAATGACAGGAATAGATCATAAGAAAGAAATCACCAAAGAAACAGAGAACGTTCATAGGAATGAACAAAAAGGATAAACTATGCCAACCCAACACCAGAGGAAAGGAAAAGGAGAATGGAGAAGGCATTCTTATTATTTCCCAAGATCTTTTTAACTGCCTCTGCCTTCTTTGCCTCATTTATTATTTTTTTTTTTTTTTTGTACCAGGGATTGAACTCAGGGGCACTCCACCACTGAGCCTCATCCTCAGCCCTATTTCGTATTTTATTTAGAGACAGGGTCTCACTGAGTTGCTTAGTGCCTTGCTTTTGCTGAGGCTGGCTTTGAACTCAGGATCCTCCTGCCTCAACCTCCCAAACCACTATTTACAAGCATGCACCACTGTGCCTGGCCCATTTATTCTTTTTTTTTTTTTTTGGCAGTAAAAATAGTATTTTATTCCACCCCCTCCCGCCCTCCCCCCCCAGCAACCCCCAGTACACTTTTCCCCTCTCATTCCCACAGCAACGTTACAATCAGAAAAAAATAAGTTTCAGGGGACAGGATTTGGAGGAGGGGAGGGGATACGGGTAAAAACAGTCAAATCACAATAGGAATTTTTCAAAATAGGTTATTCCACTTAGTCATCGTCTTCTCCCTCATCTTCAGGTTGTCGTTTTCGCTTCTGACCCCTTTCTTCTTCGCCAAGTTCTTCCTCATCTTCCTCATCGTCGACTTCCCCGTCGTTATAACCTTCTTCATCCTCCTCCTCCTCTCCACTCACATCCTCCTCTTCCCCTTCCTCCTCTTCATATTCGTCTTCCTCATCTTCCACTATCTGAGCATCTTCATCATACTCCTCCTCATCCTCATCCTCCTCGTCATCATCCAGACCCTCCACATAGCCCTCAGCATCGGAGTCGGAGGCCTCCTTGTCGTCCTGGTCATAGCCATCAAGATATGTGAGCTGTGGGAGGAGCTTGAACACGTTTTCTCGGTAGTCGTTCAGGTTGGTTACCTCACAATTGAAAAGGTCTAAGCTCTTGAGGTTCTCTAAGTTCTTCAGTGGCTCTATTGTGCTGAGGTCTTTGATTTTGTTGCCACTTAAATTTAGATGCGTAAGGTTCGGACACCTTTCTGCCAATACTTCCAGGCCCCCTGAGATTCTGTTATCGCTTAGTTCGAGCTTCTTAAGTTTGTTTAACTTTGGTAAGTTGGCGACTGAGGTGAGGCCTACGTTGATTGTACTTAGGAATTCCAGTTCTTCAAATTTGTCTGTGAGGCCTTCAATTTTGCCTTCATTCGACCGACAATTGTCCAGGACAAGTTCTTTCACCTGGAGCTCGGAGCCAGCTCGGGAAGCCGCAGGCCGCCGGCGCACCCTCCCGGCCCGCGCGCCCGCCGCTCCGCGCCGCATGGAGCCGGAGCCCGAGCCCGAATTCCGAGCCCCGCGCCGCGCGCCGGCCGAGCCATGGGGGAGGGGGGCCCATTTATTCTTAATAATGGCATGAACCCAACTAATCACAAGACATATATACGAGTTTGTACTTGCCGGTACAATGATTCTTGCAGAGGTCTCTGAGTTGCATACAGTTTATCCTGAACCACCTCTGTGTTTCCTTCAAAGGGAGAATAATGTTTGGCCTTGACCCAAATATTCTGTCTGCTGCCTGATTAGAGAAGTGAAAAGATGAGTTAGGTGAACTTCCAGGGTCCTCTTAAGGCACAGGGTAACTAGTTTTCTTTGAGAAGGTGTTTTAAAATTTGAGATGGTAAAGTCCCTTCCGAGAGGGGAAAAGTCAGAGGGTGGCTGTCCTATAGTAATAGGGTGGAAAGGAGTCCTCCAAGGGTTCTAAAGAGGATGAGAACCTCAGTGCCTTCCATCCCATATCCCTCCCATGGGACAAATAGAGCTGTATGTGCCACCCCAAAATTGTGTAGAAACCAAAGTCTTCCCTTCTTATCAGCTCCTGCAAAGAGTAAGTGCTTGGGCCTCTGAGGCTAATGTACAGGCATACAATAAACAAAGAACAGTCCTTTGTTAGCACCAGGCATTTGCAGAAAATCTGGGTTGGATGAAGAATAGGGGAAGAGTTTCTTTCTTTTATGGTACCACAGAGAGACATTATTGATGGGCTGGGGGCTGGAGTGGGAACAGAATGTATCTAACTCAATTAGTTTAATCTTTGCTAGGTATTGAAAACACAGAAATGAGTCAAGTGACTTCCCTTCTGGGAAGAATTTGCATGTACAGAACTTAGTAATTTGCTTAGCATTTTATGACAAATGGCATGTGCATTTGGATCTATGCACTTATTTTTCTTGGAGAAGTATTTCATAGATTGCAAAAGTTCTAAGATACAAAAGTATTGAAAATGATTGTTCTAGAGATATTAGAAGCCCACAAGTGTTCTTGGGTACCTTTTCCTTCAAGATGATAATTCTCAGAATTAGCAGAGCTATTAAGGGCATGCAAAGTGAAGTATATGGAATTAGCAGATCTTTTCAGAGGTCAGGCCTTATAACTCTTTCCCCATGGCTGAAGGGTTTAATAAAGCATCTGCAGGCAGATAAAGGCATTAGTGATGGTGGAGAATTTTTAAGGACTTCTAGACTTTTTCTATTCCTTTTTTTTTGACAGGCACACAGATGACTGATAGATGTCTCACAACAATCAAAATTAAATCCCAGCATAAGAACTTTGAGTAGGAAAAGAAAGACACCATCATAATATTTAAAACATATTTCTTCTCCTACACATCTTCAAGGAAGAATCTTACAATAAGAACGTGTGGCAGGGTTCTGGTTTGTGAGAAGCTGTCATTTCAGTGCTTGAGGGTACAGACTCTGGAGCCACATTGCCTGCACTGAAGTTCCAACTCCTCCACTTGGTCACTGCTTAACCTTAGTTTCCTAATCTGTAACAGGAATAATAATGGTATCTGCCTCATTGGGCTGCTGTGATTTCATGAGGTAATATTTGCAAAATCTTAAAATGGTACCTGATTCATTACAAATGCTATCTAACTGTTTGCTTATATTCTTAACTATTTCCCCTTTGAAGCTCTTCCTACATTCCAATATAGCCCCTACTCTCCAGTTAATAAAGGACTGCAGTTTTTGATTGTTGACACACAGAAGGGATGTGGCCCCAAAGATCAGAAGGAAGAGAAATGTCTTCTGTGGCTTTTGATTTTTCCAAAAATAGGCTCTGAGGAAATGGAAACATGCAAGATAATGGGGCAGTAGAATATCAGATGAGTGTAGGAAGACACTTGGCCCTTCTCCCCACATATACTGGCTACAATGGGATGCCATAGACCCCATAGAGAGCAGGCTCCATAGGGGCTCTGTGAGAGTATGGGTCCAGGCAGCTCCCTGAGAAAGAGGCTCACAAGTCCCAGTTCCTGTGCCAAATGTTAGGAACTATGGAGGAAAAAAACCAACTAACCACACCGCCCCCACCCCCGCCATACATATAAGTTCATAGGATCTGAGAATTGAGTGACCATGTGTCCTATGTCTTTAAGGTTCTGAGGAATTAGCAATGACTGTCTAGTGTGACTTGGCTGATTTGGCCATAGTCAGCCTACAGAGTTCTCCAGGCCCTCTCAGGGCACCAGCATGGTTTCTTGTCCCCTCAAAGTGGCAGACAGAAGATGGGAATGAGATGCCCTTGGCAGCCACCTAGGTGGGCAGTGATGTTGGGCAAGGTTGGCTTTCCCATTGGGGACCAGAGTGAAAACAGATGGCATGGAGGATGAAGAGAAGGTGCACCCTCACCTTGAGGACTCACAAACCCTCCTGGGGCTTAGATGCCTAGAAAAGGGACAGAAAGGAACAGTGACTCTGAAAACAAATGAGACTGAAGTAGAAATTCAAATGAGTTACAAAAAAAAAAAATCAAGGTGAGTTTCTTTTGCGGATTTGAATTCGCAGATGGAGATTCATACCTGTTCTACCTGTTTCCTCTCTGACTCAGACATTGCCTTCATTCAGGGAAAAATGAAGTAAGTTTTGGCTTGAAAGATCCAGTTCACCACTGGCAACCTAAGAGTCATCAGGGTGTGTCCCCGCTGCCTGCCAAGGCCCAACCAAGATGAGAAGAGCCTGAGGACCTGGGAGCAGCTGACATCATGAGATCACAGTTGTAACTCTTCAGGATGGGGGATGTGCTAGGGACCTCTCCATCAAGGGGGACATGGAAGGGAAATGTAGCTCAGATTGCTGAACTTCATGTAACGCAGGGACTGTGGTTATTTCCTACCTATATAATTGGAATACTGTCATCATATGTCACTATTCTTTTCCAGCTAGAATTCTCCATATAAACATGAGTCTTGCATACTATATTCCAGGCATTGTATTGAATGTTGGGAACATTAGCATGTGAATGAGATGTGGTCCCTGCCCTCATCATGTCTATTCCAGGCTCCCAGGAAGGTCCTTCTCAGGGGCAGTGGCGTAGGCTTGGTGGGAGCAAGAGGAGAAGAGAGTTAGGACAGTTGGAAGGCTCTGGAGTAATTTCTAGAAAAGAGGACTCCTAAGTCTTAGAGGTTAAGTGGGAGCTGTTTATAGCAGGTGAGAGGTTAAGAAGGAATTTCTGGCCAAAAACACAAACCTGAGAAAGAAAGGCATGTAGGTGAGGGGCAGCAGAGTGTGCCCAGAGGACAAAGCATTCAGCACTGTTGGATGGTCAGGTAAAGTTGCCGATGGAGAGAGATAAAGTTGGACATGGCACAAGGCTGGGCCAAGTCACAGAGGGACTTGAACGCCATGATGAGGAATTTAGCCTCCATTCTGCAGCTGATGAAGAGCTAAGGGCTGGTTTCTGGCAAGATAGTGATGTAGCTGGATTTACAATTTACACAGGCATTTGGGGGGTTGGTGAAAAGGGACAGTGAGAGTACTGGCTAAGATTGTCCCAAAGTCTTCTCACTCACAAAACAGCTCCAGCAAGTCCCCAGATTAGTCTAAGGACTTCACAGACACATCTGCCACATCTTAATATAAATAGAGGTTCAACAGCAGCTCAGACCTAATGGAAAAGTCTATGATCAGACCTACCTAACCTAACTGAGCTGAGATCTCAAACTTAGATTGGCATCTAGTTACTTCAAAGAGCAACAAGGCCACCATCTTTGGCTTTCAGACCCCTGGTTTATTTCCCCTCTGACAATCTCACGATCTGGATTCCTCTTTCCTCCCAGCTTCCTGACCTGGCTGCTATGTGGAGTTTCTGGTTCCAGCCCCTATAACCATTCCCATCCCTCTGCAACCTGCCCCACTCCCCCAAGGGTGGCAATTTTATTCCAGGAATGGGCTGGCAAGACATCCAGCAGGTCAGTGCAATGGGAGTGGGCATGCGCCCAGCTTCAGTGCACAGGAGGGGATGAAGCCTCAGCTCACCTCTGAAAGACCACGCGTTCTTCCTTAGAGTGGCATTTTCATAATTGTTTCTGGGGCTTCCACGGATTGCCATAACTTGATATTGCCTCTTGCTCAACAATTTGGCTGCATTTCTGAAATACTGTTCTCAGTTCTGCTGGCTTCGGTCTGGCTCTTCTGATTTATTATTCATGCCCGTGTCTCATATTTTCACTTCCTCACAATCATCAGTGGCCATGCAATATCGTCAGGGAAATGCAAGGGTGGGAAGAAGAGGAGAGTGTACAAAAGGGGAGGGGGACAGAGGAAAATCACAAAAGAAGACCTTGTGGAGGGGGTTGGGAGTACAGAGCAGCGGAGCAGATCTGTGGGCAGTGGAACAACACGTGGCGATGGGTAGGCTGAAAAGAAGTAGGAGGAAAAGAGCTCTGAGAGACCAGAGGACGGGGCTGGCGGGAATGTGCGCTGCCCTGGAAAAGGAAATTATGTGACATGATTGCAAGATCAAAATGCAGCTCTTGCTATTGATTAAATTAGTTTATCTCTGCAGCACAGAATTGAGCTGCAGAAGCAAAATCTCAGCCGGGTGTAAGCAGGCAAATGAGCTAGAAGTGCAGAGTTCTGAGAGAGGAAAGAGCTGGCTTTGCTGTCGTCCTGCAGTTTGCTTAGGAGACATGATGGTTCTTTTAACAATAGTGCCTTCACTCCCAGCCCTCAAACTCCTCATCCATTAGTTTGGGAAGTCCAGCTAATTACGTTGATTGTTTCAGCACATTCTGTTGGAGCTGTGGTGCTAATGATTTAGGCACATAGGACATTCCATTAGAGTATGTCTGGGCAACGTGGATGGCAAAGGAGGTATGACTGAGCCAGTGGGCACCTGTCTATTCAGGAGCAAACCCAGCAGGGTTAGCACGGTAGAGACGTTGGAGGTCACCTAGCCTGGTGTTTCTCCACCCTGGCCATACTAGGCTCAGCTGGGAGTTTAAAAAAAACACATGTCTGGACTCCACCTACTCAACCCATGGGTTTAATTTTACTGGTCTAGGGTGAGGCTCTTGTATCCCC